CTAAAGGAAATCCTAATGGCAAAATTAAATATTTTCAATACTTTTAGTGTTATCGCTGATTTCGAGATTTCATTTTGTGAAGTTAGCATCCCCAAGTTTCAAATTTAACTTTTTTAGGTTAATTCACCAGAACTATTTTTAAAATTGATAAGGAACTCTAGAACTCTTTGGGGTGCCAACCTATTTCTGTAATTCTTCTCAATAGAGCGACAGTATGTTTAATCGGCCGGGTTAATTCCTCCTTGCGAATTAACTCCGAGCAATCGTATCGCAAACGAGAGGTATAAAGACCCTTTTCCGCGTGAGTTCGACAAGGTAAGACGATTCGACGACGTTCGCCTGTCCTTAACCGTTAAGAGAGCTGTGAGATTTCGCGTTTGAACATTACGATACGCCGCAAATGTCTCTGATATTCTTCGGATCTACTCGCGCGCCCGAGGAAGAACGAACAAGAAATTAAATCCATTGCTGGCGGCAAGTGGAATCCGACCGTAGGAACGGCGCGTTTTATCGCATTTCCGAAAATTTATCGCTGCAGAATAGCTCCAATGGATATATCTATCGATTGTATCGCGGCTGGAAAATCGGCAATTGTTATTACTGGCGCGCCGCAAGTTGTCAGATGCGCTTTACGCTCGCAATAAGACACTTTTGGCACAATACGTACGTTTCGCGGTTTTTATTACAACCTCGTACTGCTTCAAATGCCGCTTAAAATATAACATTGCGGAACAGAAATGCTCGATGTTTTCATTTAACATATGCGTTTTGTTAAATTAAGAATGAAGAGATATGAAAACAAAATTAATTTTAACATTTAATCCTACTCAGTGTTCATACCAGTAACTTTTAGTATTAGAATGATGTTTGATTGTTGGAAGTATAAGAATTTTAGTTTTTTAAAGTAAAGAGAATTATAATTCTTTAGAAACTACATTAAGAATTAAAAAAATATAATATATACGTATATCGTATAGCTGAGTGTTTGATAGCTATTTCTAACGATCTTCCACGTACCTTATAATTATGCAATTATCGTCTAATGGGCTAGTAATTTTCTTCGTATTATACCTAATCACTGTATATATTCTGGTTGCAACCGAACGACATTCTTAAAGTAATTAGCAGAAAGTTTCCCCTTCGCAAATATTATTCTTCTCTATGGAGGTCACATAAACTTAAAGAAAAATTTATTGCAGCGAATGGCAAAAACTTGTTTGCAAGAAATCTCCTTATCTCTAACGAAGTGCCTCTGGGAAAACTTAGTCTGCTAGCAATATTTTGAATTTAGTTCCTCCGAGAGATGCGGAAATTAAAATTAATAGGGACCGCCCTCATTGGTAACCGGAGAAATAATGCAGGTATGTGAGAGAATACAGAAAAATTTTGACATTTTCTCTGGATATATTAAACTTCAATTATAATGTAAGAAAGCAAACGTAATTCCATAAATTTTCATGGAATGATTTAGATTTGATCATTAGGATTAATAATCAAATGAAAGAGTAATGAAATTTCCATGTTAAAGATTTCAATTTTTATCTGCTTTTACTGGTTATGTATATTTATAGATTTTTGCATGAATAAAAAAAATTGTGTCATTAAAAAAATGTTGTTCTGTATTGATGTTCTTAACTTTAGAATATAGAAAACAGAAGAATGCTGTACAAAAATTACTGGAAAAGTTCTGTTTACATCTACATTAAACATCTTAAATATAAAATAAAAAATAGGAAGAAAGTCAAGAGTTTGCTTTTCTTGGGCAACACACACACACACGACTAAGATAGCAACAGTTTTAATCGTCTCATAACAAAGTAGCCGCAACGCGGTTGGCTAGTAACGAATCTCGCCAAGTTCGTGTAAGACGGAGGGTGGCCGGTCGAGCAGATAAAAGTAGTCCCGTTAATAGCACGAGACAATGTAACGCGGGAGGATAATACCAATTAGGCGGCAGGACCAGCCAGTCGGCAGCGCCTGGCAGGATAAGGTTATTTATTTGACGGGTTAATTTATTCCGGATAAAAAGAGCTCAGCCGGCGAGGTACTCTGCCGGATGTACGGCCTTAAATTAAAATCCCTCCTCCAATACGTTCCCCTGATGCAAGAAACATTGCTCCCGCTATCTTGCGCTGGCTATGTTTCACAAGTGCGCCACTCTAAGCCACGCTCCTGTATGACATACAATCCGCCTTGCTTCAGCTGCTGTCGATGGATTAATTTGAATATCCGGAATCTTCCGGAGTACATTTGCGACTTCTGCAAAGAAAGCGAGTAATGGCAATACGAGCGAATGCAATATTCTCGCTATGTATATTCGTAGAAGATGCGGGATATTCTTTACAAAATTAATTGTAAAGTGGTCTTCTCCTGCGTTCTTTTATATTTGTCGTTCTTCCGTATTAAAGCAGCGCTGGACTAAGTGATTAGAATACTTCTACTATTGCCCATTAACTTTTTTATATATATTCACGCATAGCTTTTTGTTATAAGTGTAACGAAATATATATAACTATACATAACTAGATCATGTATTATATATTTAGAAGAATTAGATATGTTGCGCAATATTAAAGTACACGATAGTGTACGACAAATTATGCAATAGTTTTAATTTGTGCAATTCAAGAATAAACCTACTAGCATAGGATTAAACCTTCTTGGATTAAACCATTCATTAGCATAATTTGAGAATTCACAAAGTTATATCGTTCAAAGTTAATAACATACAGACAAGTAAACGCAGTCTGCACGAATACTGTTCTTCTCTTGACTTTCCTTATCATTTTTCTTTGTATTTATACGTCATTAATTAGACCGATAACAAAGTTAAGGCAAAAACGTGAAGTGTCACTCTTCTCGGTGATAGTAGCCTCATGGTACGCGATGAAGGAGGGAGACGAAACGAACAGAGGGAGAGAGACATATCGAATGTATTACGAGTCCATAGTGGAGGAAGAGAAGCACGGAAAGGGGGGATAAACTTGCATCACACGCGTAGAAACGGAGACATGTACACGGCCGTGGCGCGATAACGTCGCGAAACTCGCCTTAGTTCGTACAATACAAACAGCCCATGTCCACCTAGTCCGCTTCTGGAGCAGTTTCCCTTATTCGTCCGCGTCGATGTTCCATCGTCCGTTGTCTTTCCGTTTTTCCCATTAGATTTAACGCGGCCTGTTATTCCCGGTGCCGTCACGCGATAAACGCTACGTGCGATCGTACATGAGTGTGTGGGAATTCGTGTGCGCAAATGTGCATGTGCGAGCGTATGTGCCGTGGCGTCGATATGAAGGCTGGTCTTTGTGAAGTTTTCAACGGCGATTACGTGCCCGGTAATTTCGTCGCAAGCTCGACGAATCCGATCGTGAATCGATAAGCTCGATGTCGACGTTGGTCATTTCGCGTGCACTGATTAACGGACCCAAAAGACCAGTAGGTACCTCCCGATGAATGTACGACCAATTCATCTCGCAACGACATAATGCCACATTAATGCCACGTTGCGCTGGTGACACGCTCCCGAGTTCTTTGCCTGGTTGCGATTTACATGGGTGATTTCGAACAATCGATCGACACAGGAATCGTTTTGAGTGTCTCATAGAAGTGATATTCAAGTATTGTTCGTAATTTGCGCCACGGAGTTTTTGACGGAGTTCTCTGGGTGGGCACGCGAATACGCGTGTACATATTGCGTATATTCTGTGTGTGACGCAAACGTCAGCACAGATATGGTCGACGTCACCTGTTGCTGGCAATTAACAAATGCCTTGTGTTCTGATGACGGCTTTTATGAAAAGCAAGCCAGATCTTTAGAACGAGCGCTACATTGAGTCTACTATTGTCCTGACTTGTGTTCCATGTTTCTGCTGTCATTTTGGTGAGTCGTCATGGAAACTCGAATTTGATAAGTAAACGATCTAATCGAGAAATTGAAATTAAAAAATCTTGCAATAACTAGTTATCATTCATTTTTAGAACATCTCCGAGTGTTCCTAGAAAGATTGATGGTAAAGATAAAAATAAAATTGAAGGAATCAAAAGATTTACTCTTTTCCTTCCCATTGAAGTTGTATGTATAGTTATAACTACGCATTGTGAATTGTGAAATAAGATATTTTCATATCTGTGAATATATATGTATACTAGTTTCTTATAGTTTTATATAAATAGCTCTAAAGACCTTACATATGTGTAGATAACACATATTTTGATGTATTTAAAAACTTCTTGGTAACATAAAGTCATCATTATTTTCTGTGCCGTTACAGTTTAATGACAATAGTTATAATAAATACAACAAAAGCAGAATTATAACTTCCTTGAAATAATTTACATTTAGAATCAAAGGTTTAAAAAGTTTCAAAGTGTGAACAGTAAACAAAAAATTTTCATTTTATGCAATAATTTTACAATGCGATTATTATACATATATGCAATATAAACAATACATAATAAAGCCTCTAAATGTTTTCAAAATGTTTTCATAAATCGTTTACTTGTCACGTGAAATGTAAAGTAAATATTATTTGTTGCTGTTAACAATATTAATACACAGGTAAAGAAAAAATATTTGCACTATTCGTAAAAATCGCTGTTGATATTTTATATTTCAAAGTGCAGTTGTGATAATAATAAGTGAAATAAGTTCCTTTACACACAAATAGTTCGAATGCAAATTGTTATCTAATCTTCAGTTTACGCAACTCTTCACTCACACGACTCATGCTATCACAATTCTTATCATTTAGTTTTTTTTCGTATTTGTATAAACACTTTATAATATATGATTTATCGCTGCGAAACACAAAAATATTTATTAAAACAATTTTTTTATAACATGCAATTACTATAACATGCATCGTGATGTTTTTAATTAAAGTTAACAGTATCATTTAATATCTAAGAAATTGATTCACTAAATGTAGTATGCGTATTTATGAGGCTATCGTTTGATTCTCTCGATTTTTTATTATATGTATGTATATGTGAAATCTGTTTTTACTATAGTGCAATGAAATTATTTCTTAGTTGCGCAATCTCATTAGATTACCACATTTTAAAGTTTCTAAGATTTTACAATGATCATAAAGCTGTCAAAATCAGTTTAACAATCCAAATAGCACAGGTGATTGTTGTAAACTCCAAAAGTATTTACTTTTCAAAACTCTTTATGAATTAGCGTAATCTGTTCAAGAATTTTAAAGAATTCCTCTCCGGTAGTTCAACTCAGCTCAAAAAAGATACCATAAAATTAAACCTTTTGACTTCTTATGGAAGTAAATTAAAGTTGTTCTGAATACATAAACTTCCTTTTGTGTCCAAAGAACTTGGAATTGGGATAACGTAAAAGCGAATTTTTTTTAACTTTTAAGAATGTATTTAATACAGAAAATAGGATGGAAAAAGAACAATTTACTTTGACATTTAAGAATTCGGAAAGAATTCTTTTTGGATCTCGGAAGGACGGTCTCGCGATTCGGTTTCCTTGCCTTCTTGGTGTTGCGCAATTTAGAATTTCGCGAATTGATGCTGCCCGCGAGCTATCTTGGAAGTATGTGTAAATGTTAATCAATTTTTATCCCATTAATGTTGCTTGTTTGATGTGATTGTTACATTTCTCTTTTGCAAGGATTCTCACTATTTCTCTGACGAGTATTGTTACCCTAATTTGCCCATAGCAATTTTATGAGCAATCCAGATCCCCCCCTCTCTCTCTCTCTCTCTCTCTCTCTCTCTATATATTTTTCTTTATCGGATGCTCGCTTTTCTCCTTCTTGTTTCTATCTAAGCTATTCGATCGATAACTTTGGCCAGCGTCTCGAGGTGACGAGTTTGAAATTGATTCACGTTGGCAACCAAGCGGTGGTAGTTCCAAGGAAATGCGAATACGCCCTTGAACTCCGCATCAATAGAACTGGGCTTAGGCCACGTAAGCCTCGTTAGAATGGATGCCAGACGGACTTATAGTCAGGCTCACAATTGCCCGACGTTTATGGGTCGAATACATGCCGTTTTCTGTTATTACCTCTTGCCTACTGATCTCAATGTTGACGCTAAGTCGGTTAAAACTTCCTTTTGAGGTGGGGGAGAGGGGCAGTTCCGTGATCGACGATGAAAAGTTTACGTTATGAAAGTTTGAAGGAGAGGACGGCCGTTCCCGAACTCGGTCGAAAGTATATTCGACGTCGATATTGTAGCTTCAGAATTTATTCGCACATTAGAGACTCGCATTGGATTGCAAACGTGCCGCAAATATGATCGATGTATCTCTGACGACTATAAAGCATTCGGCATTATTATCCAGCGTGCGCCAGATTTCATTGTAATGACACGCGAACGTGCTATCTTTTTCAATGTCGGCGGTGGAAATCGGTTGACGATGACGACCGGGGAATATCGCTACTGTCGGATAGATACTAGATACGGCAGAGCGTGTCAGTAAAACGATCGATCGACGTTTATAGCCCGAATACACGTCGTTTCTCGTTATTAGTTATGACAGGCGATCTCGATGCCGGGCGAGTTTGCACATAATTCTGCATCATACGTCGCGCGGGTCGAATTTATCGGGACGACGTAACGAACCTCCCGTCAGCGACGAGAGAAAGCAGAGCGCAAGGAAAAAAGCTCTCCGCGTTTACTGCCCACCTAAAACCGGAGTAGTAAACCGGACGATAGCCAAGTACACGTTTTATTCGCCCCACGGAGTACTTTTCTTTGTAGCTGCAAATGTAAATGGAAGCAGATGGCAAGAGTGTCTCTTGCGCGTTAATAAGAAACGACCACGGTGGCCTTAAGTCTCTTCCGCGTGGCGAAAATGGTAGCACGTGTATGCGTAAGCTGTAGAGTTAAACTGGAGACAAGTTCAGGAGTAAGCTAACTTACATTTACTTTAGTTTGACTGACTTTTGGAAATCTATCTTCTTGTGTGGCAATACAAAAAGTACAAAGATTTGTAAATAACAGTGAAAATGTGATAAGATCGGTAAAAGATCGATTGAAATACTACAGATGTACACATTTACAATTAGGGATGAAAGTTCTATTTAAAGAGTTTATTCTGCGTTTCGTTGTTAAAATTTTTAAGTATCAAGTGCTGGATGATCATTTATTCATTAATTATTGACTGGAAATATTTGCATGTAGGTATGCTATGACGATAATATTCTAAACAAGATTTCCACTTAAAATATCTAAACAATATATGATACTCTACTTGTCACTTCTTTTTCTTCCCTTAACATTAAAACTACCGACGATTAACGTATACCTATCGCAATAATTTACATTACGTGTACATTTGTTAAAAGGGACGAAGCGGGAAAGAGTAAATTAATCACATCAATCATTTACAAATTGCAACACGGAAGCCACTAAAAAATCTCAAGAAAATGTGGCGCCGTAAATTTAATTAAAGTTAGGAGCCAGTCGTTTTGATAGCTTTGGCAGTTCTGGCGTTAACTCAAGCATTCACGTTTGCATTTATACTTGAAGTCGTACATTAATAGTGTGTTTCATCACCGGAAGGACACGCGTTGGAACACCTCGTTTCTACTAACTAGTGAGACTTAGGACGAATACACACTATAAATCTAAAGTAACTATAAAGCCTCACGTTCCACCACTGAGGGAGAGTTAAGTGAAGCCGTAAACCCATGAGCCCATGAATCCGTAATTCCATGGTCAGAGTTTATGGTTAGCTCCCACCATATTTACGGCTATCTCTTAAGTGTATTTGTGCAGATTAGAGGCATACAGTTGCCTTCATAAAGTACGTACGATTAACTACGCTTGGAGACTGATTCGTCCTAAACCTGACTGATTTGGCATTCGCTAGTGAATATCGACAGTCCACGTTATAGAAATAAATATAAATTTTATGTACAAATTTATTTAGCAGTTTAAGAGTTCCAGCTTTTATTCTAGTTCTCGGCTTAAGAAACCTATTTAGAGAACGCGAGATTGACAAATTGAAGCTGTGGTAAAGATAGGCAAGATATGCAAGATATAATAATTCTAAAGCGACGGTGATTAAGACAAAAATACAATTCAAAAATATAGTTTAATTGACAGTTATTTGGTCCAGCTGACAAACCTTGATGTACACGATATATGTTCATCAAGCTTTTTAATTTTGGTTTACTATGAAGGTATTTTATTGTCTCGTTTTAATTTGGTATAAATACAGTAGCAAATGTATCTCCGAGCCTGATTTCGAGGATATTGTTGTTCTGGAGATCAGTTGCATATGCGTTTAATAATTATGGCGCTTGGCACTGGCCACTGGTATCCACCGTGGTGGAAGTTTAAAGCAACGACCGACCGATAACGTTCTGTCGGAACTATGTAATCTTATTTGAAGCCCGGCGCTCTAATTACCGCGGTTGCTACCTATGCCACGAAAATATGATTCGCCTACCATCTCGTGTTTCCATCTCCACCCTGCTTGTACACACCCGTCTAACTATTACTGTAATTATTTTTATCTACGTATTTCAAAGGTCTCTTCGCCGAAATTTCTCGAGTCTAATAATAAACGTCCAGTTAAGAAATTCCATTTAGTAGATATTTATTTTTAACGCTGTATCAATAATAAATATCAAATTAATAATTATATTTTAATAGTAATTATCATTAATTAAAAAATGTTTTCAGGTTTGGTAATTTTATAAAATAGTAGGCTTTATTTTTAGAAAATAACATTAAATTAGTAGTTTATTAGGATTGCTAATTTTGCAGTTATAAAACGATAAACAATAATATAAATACTTCATCTTACTATCATGATAACGCAAAATTTTATTATTTTACTATTTTGGTCCCTACTGTATTTAAATTTTTATATGACGACAAGCGTTTATACGATATTAAAAGGTGTTTACGTGTATGCTCATGTTGATAAAATAAACGCGGCAACTAAGTTCGAGCTAAAATATAACTTCGAAACTTTCAAGCTTTCGAGAGAACAATATATAGAGAAATACGGGCACACAATATAGAAATTGAAACGTTGCCTTATCAACAGCTATTTTCATTCACATTGTGTTGCTTCGCCGCACGCGTTTATTTGCCGCGCGTGCCTTGTTAATTCCAATAAAATAATACATTCAATGAAGGAGTAGCTGCACATAGCGTAAATATATACGTGCATTGTACTGTTTAATTGTGTGTATATGGCGCGCAGACGGGAATTATTCATATGACGAATTTATATTTATATGCATAGCGGAAAATGCACAAACGCTTTTATCAAGCTGCAAATTCGACGAAACGAAACTGTGCATGGAAGAGGAGGCGTCTTATCTCCGTTGTGTTTTAATATACATTTCATATTAACATTTTCTGTAAACAAGGTAGGTAGGCAAAGCTTGTTTGGTCATACGAATGGTGCACGCCGCGTTATTTACCCGGGAGCAAGCATAGTATAATTATCGCAGTAATGTAATGCGTTCGGGTAATGGCTCGCGCGATTTAATGGAATTACTATTATAACTTGGCGAGCTAGGTCCGTTACCCCTTCTATCAAGGAACGGGGGCGAAATAGCAACCTCGAATAATTCGCGGGTACGCACTCAGCCGCGCGATATTGCCGCATTTCGACGAGATGCGACGTTCGCCGTGCATTGCAAGTCCGTAAATAACTTTCGGTTCGAGTGATGCGGGAGATCGTGTTGCTCCGATGACTGTCTTCCGCAGCGCGGTAAGTCAAAACGCGATGAGCATTATGAGAGCCGTCGTAGAGACAAACGAGACGCCTTGCTTCTCTTGAACGCGCTCCAAATCTTTGTTCGCGCGAGTGTCTCAATTATTTTCGACTGTTGTCGCTATATCCATTTTAACGACGACGCAGATCCAACGTATAATTCTATATTAACTAACGGTTTTCTTCCGCCGCCAATCGTAATGCGTGTAAATTAATAATAGTGACGTTATTACGTCGACAATCAAATATTATAGTTGGAAATACGTTAGCTCGTAACATACATATGCACGTGTGTGTACAACTAATATGTATGTGTAACAGCTAACATATTTTTCCACCTATAATATTTGAATGTCGACGCAATAGCGTCACTGTTATTAATTTACACATATTGTAATATATATAACGAGAGGTTATTGAGAGATAATTGAAAAAACCCTAGTGAGAGAAATCACGTCTTAATCACTGATAAAGTTTAACCACGTAAATCAAACTGTAATTTTAAAAATAAATAATAAGCATTGGGAACTAAAGGACGAGTAATGAAGGAGTGATTTTTTTTCCTCGATGTTAAATCACTTTAAGAACAAAATTTTAGCATATTTTTTAGTGCCATAGAAACATTAAATCATTGTTGAAAAGAATGTATTAAAAGAAAGAATAATAATTAAAAGATAAAAATAATTGATTAAGCTAAAAATTTTTAAACTTTACTATGTACATGTGTCTTTAAGTTCTTCTCAATTAATCTCTAATTGTGCCCTTTTATTCTTTTATTAACGAAAGAGAATATATTTTAAGATGCCGAGACGACGTCTCCTAGGACCTGTTCTTAATCGTTTAAGTATAATGCATTTAAGTTGAATGTTAAATTTAAGCATAATTAATGCATTTAAATATTTTATGGAAACTTGTCAAACCAGACATTAATTGTCCAATTGCCTAACGTGCGATATGTACCATCCATTTGGTTTCCAAGTAATCTTTCAGAGAAGGACGTCAGCTCTCCTTATTTCCGAGCACTCGATTCTATGGATCGATGAACGTGGAAATGGTATGGCAGGAGGGGGAGAGGGTGCAGAGAAGAGGGAGTTTCAATACGAGGATAGAAAATGGGCGCGTAATTAATTCAGTGGATACGAATCGATTCCGGCCGGTTCACTATACTCGGCGAATCGTCAAGACGTGCACGGGTTTCCGTGTCGCGGCGTTACATCGTGGAATTTTGTATCGTACCGGAAACTCCTTTTTCTAATTGCGGGAGACAATTTAATCGACCGAACCTCGTAACTTATGAATGACGTTCGTGCCGTCTGCTCCGTCTTACGGATGGAAAGTCTACGGAGAATAAGGGCCAATATACTCGTATGTATATAACATGTAGCATGCTTGGCAGCCAGCAATCGCTTGTGCAGTTTTAAACACATAATTGCCTTTAGCTTAAATACCATTCCATCTGCCATATAACACTGGGTCGGCCGGAAACATTTTACGAAAGGTCAGTTTGCTTTCTGGTCCGCGGTCAAGCTGTCATTGATGTCTCTTCGTAACACGTGATGATAGCATAGAAAAAGAAGTGTACCACGTCCCGCGAGAAACCTAAATCGCTCGTTTGGCGATGCTAAATTACAACTACGATGAAGAAGATCGACCGCTCACTTGACCTCTCGCGTGGCAAATTTAATCTTAAACGAGTAAACATAAAAATTACATAGTTGCATTTAGTATTATCTAACTAATTTAGCATCTGCATTACACAAAGCTACGTTAAACGTACAAACCTTTACAAACATTTAATTTTGCATTAATGAAGGAAACAGTGTTACGATAAAATTACAAATTATAATTACAATAAAAGTATATATAACGTATATATTCAACGTTTATCTAAGTTACAAATATTTAATATTGAACATATTTACGTTCGTTATTTATTTGTTAGAGAAACATAAAAGATTTTATTACTTTCACGGAAAAGCCACCGCGGTTGAGATGGTAAATGAATACCGCTCGATCGATTGTGCGAGATACGATTGTGATGCCTAATCCGGATATAAATACGAGATTATTCGAGTGATTAGCGTTTGGGTGTTGGTAACGCCAGGTGATTCGCTATGTAGCCGCGCGTTCAACTTGCGTACATAATTAATGCCGCTCGCGCGCGAATATACGTTCTCGTTTGCGCAGCATGATTAACTTGTCCATATCTGAGAATAATCTTGGAGCACTCTAAGAAGTAATGGACGAGGCAACGCTCGTAACTTGACCCTTATCAGGTCAATTGCGTTCATCAAATTTACCAGATATATTTCAAATGTATTCCAGATTTTGTCCAACAAAATCGTAACTTGACCCTTATCGGGTCAATTGCGTTCGTCAAATTTACCAGATATATTTCAAATGTATTCCAGATTTTGTCCAACAAAAACTCCCATAGTATCTTGCGTCGCGTATCATAAAATTATTATTAGAAAGTAACAAGGGCAGAGCGTTGTGCGTGAGTCAACTTTATTTAACTTTGATTAATATTGCGATATACCCTACGTTCCGCTTCTGCTTTCAGCTACCTTCAGCGACGCGGAAACAGGTAAATTAGTAATCTCGCGTTTTCCGTCTAACATAAAATCCGTCTAACAAAAAAAAACTCGGTCAATATGTATAATTTGCGAAATATCCGATCAGGAAGTGGATTGATCGAAGTAGAGCCGAAACATACGACTTGTAGTTTGTATTACAATTTAAAATTAAAGTTAAATAGTTGATTCATCATAAAGAACCATGTTTGACTCTTAAGACCTAGTTTTCCCTTGTTACTCCTTAATTTTAATATTGAGATAAAACTATCTCTAATCCTAATAGAATTACATTACTTCCAAGAAGTAATTTGAAACCATTGAGATAAGAGGAGTATGGATTAATATATATGTATAATATGTATATATGTATGCGTAATATGTACAATTGAATGCATTAATACAGTGCAACGATTGCGTTCCACGATTAAATTTCTCTGTAATATTCAAGAAACGTATTTTTCCGCTTAATACTTAATAATGTAGCTCAACTATTTTATTTTATGGAAGCGGGGAAAAATCAGCGAGTCCTCTCATTAGATCCCTTTGCAAACGTGAGCGCATTGGACACCGTTAATGCGTTCGCTTATACAAAATGTAAATTATCCAGCATACAAATGTTGCAATTCTCTCCTGTGTTTCAATGACGGACTTATGTATATATATATATTTTTTTAGAAATATTTCTAGAGAGATCGGCAAGTGCTGTAACGTCTTAACTTTCAATACAAAACATTACATTTAAATGTAATGTAGGACTTATCGTAATTAATCAATTAATTAAACCATTTCGGTGATTATAACAACAGGTATAATTTGACGATAACCACGTATCACGGCGACCCCGAACGCTTTAATTCACATGGTCAAATTGGCCGATAAGGCCGGCCTATTCGCGGAGTATACGATAAAGAAGTAGATTAACGATCCCGTTTCTTTATACGATGCAGGAGTTTCAGATGATTACGGGAAGCCCAGAACGTCGGGTAACGCCAAGGTTCAGCGATATCGTGAGTCACAGTAACGATAACTGCACGGACGCCGGCACGACGAGAGCGCAGTATTGAATTGCAATCTTCAGGAATGGCGTCTCGATGCATCGGTGCGCGCCCGCCGTAACAAGATTAGCGAGTTTCAAGCAGCCGAGCGCTACCATATTCTCTTTTCGGCACGATCCCTTCGCGCAAATCCCGGGTAAAATCAAATCGAGCGTTTTGCATTGTTCGCCATTCGAGAAGAGCACTTGCCGCATGTCGCCTCGCGATCGCTTTACCATCCGCGGACTTGGCAGTCGAAAACGAATCAGATGTAAACAAGCATTTTGCATTCCGATTTATCAAAGTACCACGTGATGTCTCGCGCTTTCCTACCTGCACGAGAACTTATGGGTTAGACGTATAATAAAATACATATATTTAATTGAGTGCATATTTTCTGTATATTATTTTTGAATTTAGTTATAAAAATGCAAGTATATCATACGGTAAATTGCATTAGTTCCATTCGTAAATCGAAAGTTTTTTTTAAATAGGTAATCTTGATTTTATCAGATCAGATATCTAATCATTTTTTTAACAGGTCGGATTTCCTATTATGAAAGTACACCTATAAGGAATTGGATTGAAATTGCACAATTCTTCAATTTATGGTAAAGTAATTCCTGAGCTGACAAAAAATTGGCGGAAAAAGGTCGCGGTATTAATATTCCTGGAAAAATGCGATTGGTACGATTTAATCTCGACGAAACTAGAACGGAGACCATATCGATCTTATGCAATCGATGCGCATACGTTATGCATTGACGTTGACATGCCGTGTCAATCCATTTGGTAAGCTCTTTGATATGTCACGATGGGTTGTTATTGATTATTAAGCTCTCTGACCATATGTTCTCCATTTTTTGTATACTCCATGTTTTTAGATTTTCATGCAACTTTTAAATATTTAAACTGTGGACTTCATCATTAAAGAGAAATGATATAACAATCATTGATATTAAATTATGATTTATATTAAATGTAAAAAGTGTAATTGTGACTAATAAAACAAAAGTAGTAAAAGTTTTAACATTAAACGATAATCTTGTTCGTTAATAGAAAATATACGCGAGGTTAATCTGCGCAAGAATAATGAGAAATCGTTTAATGATTTGTTGCCCGTGTAAAACGTGCCTTGCATGGTAATTCAGAATGCGATCGCGGATGCAACACGATGTCCACGAATGCGCACAACACACAGAACTCCGTAGGCTCGCTTTGTAATTAGTTTAGACAGAGGTGTTGCGGTCGCGGAGATCGCGTGACGTGTTGCCTACACGTTTTAATTGCTAGGGTGGTTCCAGCATTTAGGCAAGTCTTGATAAGTAGGCGGGTCAGAAGGGCGGACGCGATAACGAACAGCAGGGGTTCGTTCGGGGTGAAGCACTCGCATCGGATATTCCAGCAAGTTGTATCGATGCACATCAGATGCGACGAGGATGCTCATCACCGATGCATGAAGTTTACGCAATTGACTTATCGATATTGAATCATCAGTATTTGCATGCGTCAATTGATGATTTAGGTCGCCGTAATAATGGCATTGATTGTAGTTAATGTCAACTTTTTACTTTGTAGAATTGTTGCACAATTCAAAAGTATATTCTTTCTGTGAGAAGACAACTATCTTTCTGATGTAATGTAATTTAAATACAATATAAATTTATTATGTTACTAAATCGAATAATAGAGGGTGTTATATATTATTATATTAAATTTTGGTCAAGTATTATGGATAATTAATAATAGTTATTAATTCACACAGGGGAAAAGTAACTTTATATCTGCGATTATAAAACAATAATGATTTTCATCATTTTCCATTTTCCAATGTGGCTCAGCTTTTCAACAATTACGTACAGTTATTAACGTTGTATCCTTGTAGTTATTTCACTAGTGTATTAATTTCTAAATTGATTACATTTGAAATCGTCCATTTTAAGACGTAGTCCGTAATTTACAGCAATATTTAGCATATTTTCAGTGGCGAGTAACGCTTACGCAAGTTTTATTATTTGCGCATCGCGGGAGTATAGGTAGTGAGGAAAAATTTATTTTCGTGCCTTCCGAGTGACACTACTGACGGCATTGCTCCAGGCTGGATTCCGCCACCTGATTGGCGTTTTTAATTTTCCATTCATCCGGGCGTAGTAGAGCCCGCGGGGCACCCGACGTTTTACGTGCAAATCCCACAGTGCACCCGCACTGTGCTCCGATTGCGTAGGTACGCGCTTAATAAAATCGGGGGAAAAATCGTCCACGTTGCAAGTACGCCCTGTCTCATTCGGATGGACGTCACCGGAAGGCATGTAATTTATTCGACGTTCATGTAGGAGAAAGTACGTATCAAAATATAATTCTAGTATACCGCGTATATGAATAAGATGCTACTTTTCTATTTTTTTCACTTTAATATAAGTTACTGATTATCAATAATCTAAACGATATTAAATGTATATATTAATAAAAAGTTGAAGAATGATGAATACTCTCTCATTACAACATTCCCCGAAAGAATTTAAAGAAGTGAAAGAAAAGTAAAAAAAGAATTTAAAAGTGATAAATCAATGTAGCAAATTGTGTAAATCATAAATCATTTGAATGAAAGTTTAGAACATTTTCACAATTATATTTCAATGATATAACTTGATTAAGTAATATAAGTTCTTACGTGTAAACGGTAATAAATTCGATAAACTTTATGAGAATTTCTGTGCGTACTGTAAAATCTTTAAAAATTTACTTACACACAACGTATAAATGTAGTAATATTTTATTAAACTAATAATTTATAAGAGATAAACATGGATTTTATTAGTTGTGTATTTAACATTTCGTATTCCCGACACGGAAATTAGATTATCAAGAAATGCAAGTTTGATAACGTATTATCAATTCACGTTTAATTTTTAAACGTGATTATTATAATATTTGTAACATACTATCTGAAACTATCTTTAACTGTGATATCATTTTTATCAAATGACAACTTCACTTTGTTTTATAATATTATCAGTTAACAATAATGTTACTCTTGAGATGTATGTTTTTTCCAAATTAATTTATTATAGCAAACAAATTATCTATGCACTAAAATCCCTCGCAATTTTGTCATCGCTGTATTAAATATTTTTTTTATAAATTCTAAAGTCTCGAGGCGCCACAAGGATGAAAATTTGAGTACTTGACATGTCTCACTAATCTCGTTCACGTCACGCAACGTTGCAGACGTCACAGTGGATATCACGACGGTGATGTCGTTGACATCTATAACACGTCGGGGTGCTCGTCATTGTTCTCACGCCACTTTCTTCATTTAGCATAGATAACTCACATGGAGTAGTAACGATTTTTATACTATATTGCGAAGTCACTTTATCGCGTTGCTTGTAATAAAGGTCAGAGGTTTTAATTCTAAAGGTAAATGCTGTATGATTTCTCGAAGAAAGGGAAAATGTACTACCACTGCTCACTTGACTATCCTATCTATTATATCTACATATTTATCTGCGATCGAATTTTTAACAAATTGTGATTTTCAAAGATAGCTCTCAAGAAATTGAGTTTTGTTTAACGAATAATTATCTAAACCCAAAATTGAGAATCTGCCTGGAATAATTACATCAAAATGCCCTAAAGAATATAACTTGAACCGCTGCATTAAAATCACCATGGCTTCCATAATCTAGGAAACAAATGTAGATAACGGTGCTTTTAATAAATTCTGTAACTTAATAATATCCGTTTAAAACGAGGGCTCGCAGCAAGTAATGTAATTAATTTGACAGTTGCTTCAAGGCAGTCGCAGTCCCTTCAACGTTCTCGCGAACGAGGATTGTTTCCGTCGAGCGTCGCGAAATCAGCCTTGTCTTTGGCGTGCGAGCATCCGCGCGACCGTCGCGTCGCGCGGGAAGATGAAAACCCGTAGCAGAGTCGGAGCCGTCGACGTCGAGAATCTTGTCGTCTGCGTGGCGACGATGGCGGCACTCGAGAAATACGTCGTTGCCTAATGCCACGACTTTCACGAAGCGTGAGTAATACGTATTGTGGCCCGCAGTCGTGTCGTGATTTTCACCGTACAGACGCGCCGGTGTTCCCGGGGGCGGTCACGTCTTGCGCGAGATTCAATTTGCCGCTAACCTCCGCTCCCCCGTGCTCTCACCGTTCCGTTCCCTCATTCTCGTTGCCGGCAACCACCAGCCACCGCCACCACCACCACCATCACCACTGCCACCCCCGAGGTCTCCCGCTCTAACGCGCGTCTCTTTTGCCGCTCGTTTCATCTCACTTTCCCCCGCTCCCCCCCAACAACCCCCGTTCGCCGGCTCAAATCGGTATGGTAGTATAAACGAGCGTTCGAGGGGGCGGGCAAAAGGATTTCTGTTGGCCTGGCGTGACGCGGATCCAAGATTTCTATGGGGAAGTAAAAAATTCATCGTTGTCCTCCCACCCTCGGCGACACGTGGCATCGTGCCGGGATTGCGGAGAGCCGGGTCGAGCCTCCTGAGGATCCTTCCCCTCACGTGACCGGCCCCGTTGCCCTTTCATGCGCACGAAAGAGATTTTCTCGATCGGGGAAAATGAGTTTACGTGCAGTGGTAATGTTTAACGTTTCGAGGCGCACATGACAAAGCCGACAATCACACTTTCAAGAGAGAAAAAGGAATTTGCAAAAGAGAACAAAATGAAAGCTAAATCTCGCCGTGTCAAACTTATGAGAAAACTTGTCATTCTCTATATGCACGCATTAATTCATTTTTCACTTGATGTATCTTGCGACTTTTCCCTTCCCTTTAGCGACAAATCATTTTTCAGAGGGTTTTACCACTAAACGTATTTGCATTGAAATATTCAGCTTGCTTTTCTGGTCGCACTTGCTTGTTTATGAGATGTGTTTGCTTCTACAAGACTTCAAAAATTATCGATCCATTTTCTGTTATCTCAAAACAACGCGCCGTGCAAATTTCATAACGTATGAGTAAATTAAATTGAGGTGGCCATCGTGTTTTGATCTTCTATGTTTCAGATTGGCAAATACTCTCATAGTATTTGTTCGGTGTGTGTGTGTGTGTGTGTGTGTGTGTGTGTGTGTGTGTGTGTGTGTGTATGTGTATATCTCTTCTGTACTTTATTCGCACAAAATCATAAGCGTGATAGTGACTTCAAGTATTGAAAAAATATTTACGGATAAATAAAGATTTTTGTTAATGAAAGTAAATTCTGCTTATAGAGTCAGAAAGAATAATCTCCAGAAATGGATGCACAAATCGGATACATTACGTCAAACTGCTGTATTCATTACTCGATCTACAGGAGGGCAATAATCGATTCTCTAATATGTGTTTTGTTTGTTCAATACCAACGGTACAATTCAAGATCAAAGCTAAATTTGTGATTCTCATATCAATTCCATTCAATTTTTGTGTAGAAATATCAAATTTGTTACATTTATAACATAAATATGGAATATGTAATATAAATAAATTTTTTTTTGCAAAACGAAGTATACTATCACAAATTACTCTGTAATTATCATTGCGTTATAAACAAAAAGTTACGCACGTTATATATTTGAAGCGATACTCTAAAATAATAGACAGTTAAAAATGTATTTTGCACACAAGAAGAATAAGATCAAGTAAAAATTGAAGAGAATCCATAAAGAAGAATGCACGATACGGACGAAAATAGTTAGTAGTATGAGATTCGGTTAACATTTTTAATCCCACTTATTTAATCAGCGGTCCAGCCATTCTGATGCAACGATGTAAGTCGGGTCTTCTTGTACGCGGCTTTAAAACGAGGCAATACCACTAATGGATTTAAGCACGGTTTCCTCTAAGCCGGTCAGTCGCTACGCCAGCGAGCGTGCTGGATACTCGGTGGAAAGGGCGAAAAAAGGGCAAGAGAGAGGGGAGGGGAGGGGAGAGAGAGAGGGAGAGAGAGAGAGAGGGGGGGGAGAGGGAGAGAGAGAAAGAGAGAGAGAGATGCGCGGTCATGCGCCAAGTAGCGAAAGGAGAAAGTGGAAATCGCCAAAACGGTCAGACGCGGCGCAAGTAGTAAGGCCCTGGGTACGCATCAGACACGCGCTATAGCCTCTCACTTTCGAAAGTTGCCGGGCTAGGAGCTTCGGTCGACGAGCAAGTGATTACGTTAAAAGCACTTTACACCTATTTTCCTCCACCGACACTATACTTATGGCGCCGCAGGCGATAAAATACAAAGTAATGCGTTATAAGTCGAACGCGACTCACGTTTGCCGGCTCACGATCTCCTTGCCGCAATCTTCATTTCCCATTTCTTCGGTTTCTCGCTTCGCTTTTCGATAAGCATGTTTACTGCAAGAGCGAATTTATAACGATCGACCGTTTATCTTATTCGGATAAATATTTTATATTGTAGATTTAATGAGAAGATTGTTTTTACTAGGAATAAAAACTCAAATTATTAAAAATATTCTTCGCTCGTCAACTAGAAATAAACGTCTAAACATATAACGTTTATTTTTGTTAAAAAGTCTTATTTAAATAAAATTTCAGTGCAAAAGATAAATCTCAATTTATAATAATGAAAAAAGTTCGGAAGCAGGTAACAGATTGTTTCCTGCAGTATGAATTTAATTCATTACATTTCGGTTAATTATATTTTTGAAGTGTATCTATTTTACGTAATAGAGGATATTGTTAATATTAATAATATTAACGTGAAGAAGATAGTACTTGAAGAAAATAAATTTTAAAAAATATATAATTGCTTCGCATCGTTCATCAATTACGCTTTACCTGCCACTCAACTTTCATCTCTGCTTTCTCTTCCATTGAAACTTTTCTACTTTTTTTCTATCAACTTTTTATTTTTCATCGGGATATCAATCCAATCTCGTTTTGGATGGTCAGTGTTGCGGTCAGATCTCCTTACGGTAATCAACGAGCTCTTCCGTTGATTTTCCCGTTTCTATC